CGTTATATGACGTAAAATGTAGTAAAAACTGGATGATGACGATCATAACACCTTTGTTCTATTTTCTTTTCAGGATTTGAAAGCAAAAGGGTTTGGTTCTACTACAGGGCCTTAATGTGGTCTTGAGAACTACCTTTTCGAACCTTTGAGAACTGCCTTTGAGAACTGCCTTTTCTGTGGCACTGTTTTCTTCTCCACTTCTTTTTCTTCTGTCTTTATCTCAGTAGCAACATTCTTTGGTTTCTTTGCTATTTCTTTCTCGGTGCCCTCGACAAACATGCATATCAACACGACGGCCAATCCAACCGCCAGGAAAGTCTTCCGCATATTCAGTGCTACTGTAGAGCTGCAAAATTCAAATGAAAAAACATAGCGGATAGGATTTTAGAAATTGAGTATGCGTGAAATAAAACGGCAAATGAACCAAAATGTGGCATTCTCGTATCCATACCATTCGAATCCATTGACATTGAAGAAGGTCTGGGCACGAGAATGACCACAGGATGGAAAATTCACAGACATTCGTAATCATAGATTTCGTTTTTAGATATAATATCAAAATGCAGGTCAGTTCTCATATTTATGGCAGCTAGTAGGCCTGGGTTAAACGCCTTGTTTGTGTTGAAATTAAGGATTGAATTTATATCGACCCAAATAATTAAGTTTAACAAATCACATCAAATAGCAACTTCGTTCATGTGTTGTGCTGCTCAGAAAATCGTGCTAAAATAAAACCATGTTGTACACCATTAATAACGAGTCCAACGGCGTACTTTTGCATGTTGAATTTAGTTCAAAGAATTCGGGTCATGTTTAATTGCCACAGTCCTTAGACTGACTGTATTTTGCCATACAAAATCTAATTGAGTTGCAGAACTTATAAACATGATAAAACCCTGTCTAGGTTTAAAATCAACAAAGATCTAGGATTTTTAATCCTAGATTGTAAACATTGAATAATGCAAAGCCCATCCCATGTCATTCTTAGTTTCGGAACTGAATTTGGATGCGACTTTGTAAGAAGACTGATCCAAATTCTCAATATATATCAGAAGTGTRGAGTGTATGAATAAGTGCGTATTTATATTATGAAAGCCGCTTTTACTAGGTTCATGTAYAAATTCAAATCCTTGCTGCATAGCAAACACGAWGTGTAATTAATTCACCTACGCAAATTAAACAGATATGTGGKGCTTTTTTAACTTCCATGCAGTAGAGCTTCTGACTTCAGAACTCCATAACCCACCCTAACCTACCCTGTGTTGGGTACCAAATTTTCGCAAATATCTTAATTAAAGTGGTATCTCAAAGCAAAAAACTTAGTCGTTATAGATATATATATATACCAGCTAGTTTTATATTTTTGAAATTATTATTTTTTAAAGGTACACATGTGTACATTCCTCTGAAGTTAATTGTGGGTAAGGAAATTGCTGCCAGCAACACTGAGCTCAGCTTGCTAAGGATGTGGACCCCACAAAAATGGCATGTACAGTATGTACAATGATGATCACTAACAGCAAAGAATATTTGAAAATCATTGAAATATAGAAAATGACAAAAAAAATGTTGTGTTCACGAAAAACTTGGACTATTTGTCATGCCTTGAGTTTCGTACCATTTGCTTATGTTTATTACTAAGTATATATTTTGCATGCGCGTTTCATTACAAAGTCTTACTAGACGAAATGAAATTCCGGGCCTTTGTATGATAAGCCTTTTCCTTTTCCTACTATGAAGTCACACCTACACTCGAAAACTACTGTCATTAGTGTAAAGTACGAAATACAGATATCCTTAATTTGTGATGTATTTTATGGTAGTCACAAAAAACTTCTTCTTACCGTAAGTCTGTTTCTGCTTCTCTGGAAAGTCTGCTGTTCGCTGAGCTTAAAACCTTCAAATGGTGTATCGCTTCTGCACCGTAGGCATGTACTCAGAYAGATTAATAAAAATTCCTTTAATTCCTGACTTTAATAAATCAATATTGATTTGCAGTTCTCATTTGCATCAAATGTCTATTTGAAGTTCCATTGTTGTCGATACCTTACTCAATTTTGAGCTTACACAATAGTGCTTCTAGGGTCCCATCGGCTTCGATAGTCCACACATTATGCCGGAGACGGTATTCGCAAGATTCGATATCCCGTTGGTAAACAATCTGAATAACACAATCGCGCAAAGCAGTTTGGGTAACTGAAATTCTTTAATCAAATCTTTGTTTATTAGGTACTGAAATGAAAATTCTTTGTTATGTGATGATAAACTAAACACCTTTTTGATCATCTTCATAGCACGTTATTATAACATTGAATGTGATATCGTCTTTTACCCGCTACAGATCTAATTGTCCGTCAAATATTTATAGTTTTGTTGGATCAGTAAAAATTTCTTTAATTTCTAAAGGTACAATTTTTACAATTTTCAATTCATACTTAATAGACGGCGAGAGAAAATAACACCTGAGATTGGTAAAGTTTATTTATCATATAAGGTTATATTATTAGCCACTTTCAATGCTTTCAACGACGTCCGGCAACATTCATGTCGTAGCGACGCCTGCGACTATAGTTATATCGGCGACGTCGTCGACTGCAATTGTTGTTGTTGTTATTATTGTTGTTGTTGTTGTTATTGTTATTGTTGTTGTTGTTATTATTATTTGCAGGGTCATTCTCTAGTCCACGACGGCAATTGTTGTTGTTGTTATTGTTATTGTTGTTGTTGTTGTTATTATTGTTGTTGTTGTTGTTGTTGTTAGCATCTTGCTGTTTTATTGCTTTCTTTTCTGTCACCTCACTGCAAAGGAACCAAACATGCACATGTCTTGATCCATGTCTTACAGTAATTGCATAGACAATAACAATACAGTATCCGTTCTACATGGAACGAGGGGACAAACTTTTTAAAAACCTAGTTTGATGGACAAAACTAAAGGTGTCATACTAATATTCACAAGGAAATATATCTAAGAAACGAAAGAAAAGTAACTACAATCTAGGATTATAATGATATGAATAATAATAAATAATGCAATGTGGGATTTATCAATGACGAAAATTTCGTGTTTGCATGATATCTGAAAAAAAAAAACACACTAAATGATGACGTTGACAATGTCGATGACGTCAGAATGATGATGACGATGATGGTGCTGACAATGACAACAATAATCAATAAACCAATTGCCCTCATTTWWTTATGACGTCACAGTRTGTTCGCAGAAAGATGCTCAAAACCCTCTTACCGAAGGTCGAWCTTCAATGTATTATGTTTTCATCAGTTTATGACATGCATCAAAGATTGCTCGTGTACATTTTATTGATATACAGTCACTCTGATAGGATGTTTCGATGTGAYATCGTAACAATAGCGCAACCAGTGGTGAATAAAGTGATATGTCTACCTTTGTAGTGACACTATATTCTTCTCGTCTTTCTTTATCTCCAATGGAACTTTCTTAGCTTTCATTGCCTTCTTTTTCTGATCCGGTAAGCCATCGACAAGCATGGACATGRTGGCGATGAGTAATCCAACAACAACGAGAGTCCTCATTTTAAAGCTAAAAAAAGTAATAATATCTATATGAATATCATTAACTTAACCTCAAATTATAGTGTTTCAAAACTGGCGGTTTATCTCATCTGGGAAACAAACAAGCAAAACAGACAAGCAAACAAAACTAAAGAGAGTTTAGCTTCCAAGAGATCAAACATCAATCAGTTACGGTCTGCCCGTCGAGTTGAAAGTAGTTCTTTCACGTCACATGTAAGGGTTTCWTACTGTTCTTATTTTGGCGTTTACTGTTGAAAGATCCATAATACCATTCGGTCTAGTCGTGTAATGGACAGACAGAGTTTACTATTGAAGACTAGGTGTAGTTCAGTGTAATCCGTGAAAACAAAACAGTCCTACATCGCTTTATTTAGTATTCAATGAAATCCTTCTTATAACATATATAGCTAGTGTTTGGATTGACTAAAATCTTATTCAAACAMATTTAAAAGAAGGGAATTGTTTAAAGAAGCCAAGAAACTATGCAAACAATAAAAGCGATGGCCCGGGATGACATTTCTATTGGTGTTTATATATCATTGGTCCCATTTCGTTAGATTTACGATTAGATCGGTTCTTTTTGTTAGACCAGTCGAAGGCAACGGAGCAACTACATCAGTCAATTCAACTTGCGTGTAAAGAAGCGGAGATTGAAGATACGTTTTATAAGTTATATATGCAATACACTGAAGTCGACTAAATTCCTATGAATCCAAGAAATTGAAAAATGTTTACTTGTAAATGATGTATTTATAAAAATCTTGGCTAAAAGTAGCTAAAACTGAGTCTTGCAACATTTTGGCCGCACTTTTTTCAAAGAATTGAATTTTGCCTAGTACCTAAACACGGTTCCTGGAAAGTTTTTTAACTAACTATCTACTGACTGAGAGGATTTTCAATAAGGAACCGAAGCCGAAGGTTCATTTAAAAATAATCTAAATTATCTCAGGAGGATTAAGAATTAGAATAATCGATAAAAATCGCGGAAAAATTTGGCTGGCTGAACTACTCGATCTTAGAAGGCGCATAGTGTTCCTTTATATACGCACGTGCGTACTAGTGGCAAGGAAATTTCACTCAAAAATTACTGAAACATTCACATAAAAYTGATCCCTTTTATATGCCCTCGATGTCTCTCAAAATGCTGGAAATTCTATTTCCAAGAGTTATCATTTCAAAATTTCCCGAGRAAGATCCAGACTCTCTTAATATTCTCGCCTTTGGCGGTCGTGAGACCACCAGATCCAAACTGTCACGGTCCATGACATGTGCGTACTAGCCAAAAAGTCCACTGCGCTACGCGCGTGCTTAGTGAAAGTCAAAAGATATTTTTTTGGATATAAGTTTGTTGTATGATCGACTTATACAAAGATAAGAATTATCCAGGTCCTCATCCACCCCATCACTACTGCTTTTACCGATGTAGATCAAGGTGATTAAAACTGAGTTCAGTCCGACAAATGCATTTCGCTACTTACCTTCGTTAGTCAGTGAATATAGACTGTTGTGAGATATGTTCAATAAGAACTTACTCTTTGTGCTTTAGCATCAAAGAAATGAACTTTTTGAGGGTGACTACTTAGTTATACAAATGTCATGTGATTTCAAATGGGTATTTTGATTGGCTGAAACTGGACATKTTATTGTTCATAAGGGTTTRCAATTGGTCAATGCCGTTCTATCAAATCATAGTCCAATAGACCAGGTATTGTAACTGCTAATAGTGCCCACCATACTAGTAGAAAGAAGATAGGCTGGGTGCACAAGCTTGTTAGAAATCGATCATCCAATCCCTTTTGAGAATTCTCTCTTTTCTGGGCTTCCTGTGTAGTAACACGTCTTGTGGTCCGGCATTTTCTGGAGTTCGAATTTTTGAGTTCAAAGGTCGATAAAAATAACTTGCCGAAACGTAATTCATTGACGAAATGCTTCAAAGGAATCCTTGGACATTCATCTTTATTGTGGAGCAGTTAAATGTGTACAAAGGAATGGCTTTTGACAAGAAAATCGAGTAGAGTTACTGGTGGAACCCTCCGGATGAGTGTGTCCAACTCGGTAAATTGCATATCAAAAACACTCTAAAAATCGAAATATTTCAAACCAGAAAGGTAAGAGACTCGTTTCACTGTATTATAGATATTATTAAAGAAAAAAAGTATGAGTAAACAGGAGTAAATGAGTAAATTTAAGCGACAAGCTTTAATGCTATATATACTTAGTAAGGCTGGGTTACCTGTGATAAAATCATAAAAGATACAATCAGTTAGTAACTTAAGGGCGTTCCATTAAATTTTGAGGGGGGAGGGGRGGACGGCAAAATTTTAAAAACTCGACACTAAAGCTTTTGTAAATTTACGAAATAAATTACAAGCGCGCCCATGAAGTCCTAAAAAAATTCTTACACGGACAAAATCTAAAATCTTACAACCCCAACCTCAAMATTCTAATGGATCGCCGTCCCTTTACATAGATTTTGCGTTTAGTTGGCGACTTTCCTTTTATTATTGACTATATCCCATGATTCCTTTTTTGTTATTAAAAGAAGCTTTCAAGCTTTTAGAACTTCTAATGATTTTTTTGGCATTTAAATGCCAAAGTCAAATTAAACATAGTCATGATACGAATTTTTAAAAAAGAACTAATGCGATACGAAAACAAGACAAAGAAAGTCATTCTAGCTAACTACTATCTTTTTATTTCAATAACTCAATTCTATTGCATCTCGTCAAATGTTATTTTTATTTTGATTCAATTTTTTTTAAATATGTATATAAGTATCGCAGAAAAAGAGAAATCATAGTTTCAATATACAGGAAAAATAATGTACATTTTGTGTCCCATCTCACTGGTTTGTAGATCAATCAATTTATACTGTATTCTATTTTCACTAAAATATATCTACAAAATATCCAACATCATACTCAAATGTTACTTTAGTKGCACAGTTGGGTGAACTGCGCAACAGACGTTGACAATTTATCATGTGATTTATTGACGTCAAAAGRAAAATAATATTATTGATATATTATAAAGTATATTGTAATGATGTACAGTACCACAAAGATGATCTGTGTGATTTTCAGTAAAAAATGTAAATTTTCAGCGAAAAAGGACCTATAAACAACATACATCATGTTCAAACGACGTTGTCGTGGCACTCACCAGACACTGACCACTTATCGTTAGATTCATTGACGTCAAATACACGATGAATTTTTTCATCAATATTTCTTGAAACAAATGCAAAAACAATCAGTTTGCTGTCTTTAATTGTTTATATAAATGCTACTTATTCAAAAAGTACAAAGGATTTTAAAAAATGCTAAAAAATTTGAAAGTTCTACCCGTAATACGAAAGAATATGAATGCAATTAAGAAAATGTATGCAAATT